TATATACGTGTGTGTTTGTGTGTGTATGTGTGTGTTTATATAGAAATTTGTGTACAGAATTCTGTATACAGTATACTTACCCGCGAGCGAAATTGAGTATGTGAGCGCACGGAGTTCTCGCGCTCAGTATATTACATCCGACATAGCTCGAATGCTAGTAGTAGTCCACACATTGTGTATATGCATGGGTTTAGATGTGTATGTGTGCATCGCGATTCTACAAAGTCCTCTTAATATCAGTGTGTTATCTTCAATTTTTAGTTATTATAAACGCAACTAGAATCGCCCTTTTTTTTTAAACAAAGATGTCTCTGACATACTTGTTGAATAAAAATCAGAGGGGTAAGTTCTTCTACTACTTAAAAGGTGTTACGGTGGTTTCCAGATATTTGTCCTACTAGTGCAAAGCACAAGCATTCTAATTCGAACAGGCGAGTAAGGCTTCTCAAGTATTAATGTGAATTTGTAAACGTATATGAAAGTAGCCAGGTTCAAGCTGCCCTACCCGTCTCTGCCTGGTGCAAAATAGTGTTGGCCTTTTTTTTTCTTCTACTTGTTCTACACCTGCGTGTCTTGTATACTCCGCAATAACAAAAGGTTCCGAAAATAACAGAACACGGACACTTATGATATCAGTGTGCCGTTCTCAAGTTCTCTTGTTCACCCGCTTGAGATGAATGTACATGTATGTATCTTCTGTACGGGCTCTGTTTCTTAGACAAACCGACAATGATATATTGCTGAAACAAAGCTTTCATCCCGGCTGGTTTTCACCGCTTCTCAACTGTCGCCCTTTCGGTTGCTGGATTGTTATTTAGAATATGCGGAACCCCCGCCGATGTATCAATACGAACACGGGACGGGAACCAGTCAACCAATTCCGGCGGGTTATCCACAGGCTGGCGCGTATCCGGGTGGAGCACAAGGGCAGGTTGTGGTGAGAGTGCAAAGACGGGTGGGGTCACCCATCAATCATTGCTGTCACTGTGTAATCTCCATATTCTTCTGGCCATGGCTGTTTATTTGGATGTTATTTTGTATACTGGAATCTCGAATTACGCAAACGGTAGAGATGCCCCTGGAGGAAGCCGAGAGACTAGGATATAACTATGTAATAATTGAGAGATAGGCGAGGAAGCTTAAGAGACTGTAAGAATTGAGAGACAGGCGCTGTATAATAACCGTCAGCATATATACGAGAGCAAATAAACAGTTGATATTCGGAACTTGTATCCGGATGACCCACCACACTATAACTATTTCGTGGAATTGAATTGTTGTTATGGCCCGTTGCTCGTTTAGATGCTTCTTGACTTAATTTAGATTTTCTAACATGGTAAATGTGTGGCTAACATTACTTCATGGAAATTCGAAAATCGATTTATTTACCAGTGTGTATAGTATGTGTGATCCCTTTTGTTCGGCGCAACAAACCTGTAGTGATGTCATCAATCTCTCTGCTGGTCTGGATATGTCCGGCAGCCACTTTGGTTTGATTTTTTGTTTCGATAATGGCACTCTACTTTTATGACAATTAATGTAGTTCGGTTTAGTATTGGCCCTCGAAGGCGCGATTGGCCTGCATATGTGGCTACCAAAACTTGACCCGTGTCAACTGCAGCCTAACGATAAATGCGTTTCACATTTTGTTAGGAAGCTGCCTCAGAACGACTACTTGCTGGTGTTTGCTTTATATACACCATGGAGCGCCTAGCAGCTTAAATAATACTTTTAACTAGTACAAGAGGCCAAATTCAGAGCTATGTATTTTAATCCGAATGTGCCTTTTCCGTTCTCATCACATTACATCTATAAAAAAAACATAAGTATGGTGGGACCACTTCGATTGCAAGGCTCGATTTTCAGATACTGCTAAATTCAGCAAAAAGATTTTATATTACTGATATGTGAGCTTTTGGATACATACGTGTATTATTCTCCGCTACCTTTCTAACAACAGATGCGCTTTGCATGAAAACTTGGTCCCAGTACAATACCCGTTCACGACCGTATAGATTATATGAAATTGAAATATTGCGGACCCTGGAATATTATTCCAACAGATCGTAACAATGCCGCTGAGAATAGTAATGAGGTTGGTGTGCACTTTATTGTCGCTCTCCATTTGTCAGGTTTTGGAATATTTCAGCCTGTAACGCAAACAAATTTTCTCGTATATGTGAGCCACGCTGACACATGCGTCACTTTTTATTTCAAACTTTTATAAAATGAATCAATAAAGCTGAGTTCGAAAGTAGCGAAGAACAGAATCCATTGTCCAGTTGCATTATGAGAGGATCTCAAACACTCGTAGATTACGCGAAAGAGTGTAATTAGGGACTCAATGTGATTAATACCTGTTCCAGCGAGCTGAGGCAACTGTAAAGGGAAATCTTAAATGTCAATGAAAACTTTGCAATCGAATTTAATCCGAAACACGATCGTTTTAAAATACTATTTGTTCACAGAGACCACCGCTCGACCGTTTTATCATCGCTAAACAGGCATACCAGATTCAGACATGAAACCTATATATCAATTATCACCCAGCAGAACGTGCATTTAAGCACAAATCAGCTCGGTCGTCCCACACTCAACACTACCATTACCAACAATTCACGACATTTACCCTTTGGTTTGTCGTAGGTTCGCAAGAAACTGAATCTATTTTCTAAAATGTTCCCGAATTATGGTATAGAACCTCCAAATCTAGCATGACAATGAACGCACAAATTTGTTAATATTCAAACCTGCATTCCTTTCCTGGTCGAACAACCCCTACATATTGTGTTTCGGTAGCACAACGTATCCTAGGATACATATCGTATCCTAGCTTTTATCACAGAGTTTGCACCTGGAATTGTTTCTCAGGACTTGGTATTCAGTTGAAGCCTACCTCCAAATATATATACTTACACTTGTCAAAGCTAGCTAGAGTTCTCCGGTGGAGCATTACTAGGAAAAATCGTATTCTCTATCTCGGCGGTGACTTTCCTTATGTCTTCGAAATTGGTGGGCAATACTAGCATTCATGACTCTAGCAGTCCGATACATGGTATTGCCGCCAGCACGTACTTAGCTGCAAGCTAAATATAGAAATTATTTTCAATGAAGACGTCTAGTAAATTTGGGCGGCCTCTCCAATGTTGAAGGATGCAAGATAGTCCAACAGCCAGTGAAACATCTCATTTCGAAACATACTATGTAAATTATTAATGCTTGCATAATGTCCATGTAATATACTACTGATTCTGTCGTATACAACTCAGCAGTGATGTATGGCTGATTGCACAACTCCTACGCGGCATTATATGTCGCTCTGCCGCTCTGCCGCTCTGTCGCTATATCTTCGTGCCTGTAGTAACGTGTATTATACTGAAGCTTGTAAAAAGTTCTAAGCTGACATTTCTTCTATTTAGCTGTCACTTGGAAGGGGCTGGCTGAAGACAAACCTCGTCCTGATGTACTGGTACCGTAAAAACGTAAGCACATGTACAAGGAAGCAATATGCTCGCCCGCCGGTGTTTGTAAGTAGTCAATACAGGTCGGTGATAGTACCATAAAAATGCATAAATGAATTACACAAAACCTAATGAGGTCGGTTTGCTACGCAGCTTTTGTATCGCGTCTGTGCTATCTGCACAACATATTGCATATTGACGAATACGTATTACCATTGTGAGTAAAATCTTCGTGGTTTTAGGTCGGTCAACAATACAAACAAAGACTAAAGAATATTTTTGACCAATTATAAGTACAATAGATAAATGTGTGAATAATTTGGCCTTCACGACATTCTAAAAAAAAAGGTTAAGTATATATAAATTTCTTCTAATTGAACACATTTCACTTCGTATGATGCGTAATGCGATTTTATCCAGAATTACACCATGTGGCAAAACGTGGTCTTCAAATATTCGCAAAATGGTACTACCCTTAGAATGTTAAAGAAGTGGCAGACGAACATGCGGAACATGAGAAAAAGCCGTTCATATACAGAAAGGCTTATTCTTTTATATATTTTGGTTCAATTCAGACCTAGAGTGGTCAATAACTGAGTCAACTTCAGTACAAAGACGACTAGGCAAAATATTACCGGAGAGCCTCACTTGGTAAAAAGGACAAACAGTCACTCAGCTCCCACCAGATCATCATTTGCCAGACGAAATATTTAGTTTTTCTTTTTGTGGCATACACTTTGGCCCTTGTGTGTAGTGTATCGTCTGTGTGGCAGCAGTAATCCATTTTGGGTGGGAAAAGCTTATACCTTGCGCTAGGCCGAGGGTGCTCGGTGAACGCAATGTGTCAGGAATAGTCGCATGTACGCTAAAATAAGCTACACGATGCAGACGATGAAGTAAAACTCTTTGTTCAAACATGACTACCAGTACATATTCGATACGATTGAGACAAACAATCATCAATACACATCAAATTGCGTAAATATATACCTATCACTTGGCCATTACCTAGTCTACAACAATGATATTTGCACTCATCTGGCGCTTCAATTTGTTTAACCTACTTTCAATTTAGTCTTCTACGCGCTCGTACAATATCGCCCTATGACTGGAAAAAAAC